AACTGAAGAAACTATAACATAAAAATATACCTCAATCACTTCAAACGGAAAAATATGAATCATAATCTTCGCAATTGGTTCAGTATATAACCAAACACCACTATTAGTCTAGAAAAACTCCAATATTTAAAAAATGAGTAAATGCCTGCAAGGTTTTCTTTAAAAATATTTTAAATTTAAGTAAATGTAGAAAATTAAATAGTACTACAAAAAAGTATTTAATTAAATGAATGTTTTTGAAAATACGTATTTTGCATTTAGCATTTAAAATACAAAAGGGAAATCTATTTTGTATTTTACATTTGAAATAACAAATCAAAAAAGTATTTGCATTTTGTCTTTAAATACTTTCCAAAAACTATTTTGCACATCTTTACGTATGGCTTATGAGGAAAATTGATTGCTTATTAAAATATCCACAAAATTTAAAAGTAGTTTGACTTACCATTGATTATAGTAAGGAAAAGCTGTATACTTACAGACTACCTATTAGATAAAAGCCAAAACTTTTTGGTAATTCTATCCATCTTCGAAGGTTGTACGATATAGACAAAGTATAGAAGCAGTTATAAAATCTGTCTATAACCCTTAATCAAATAAACCAAAAAAGACTCAACCTGGTTCCTACAAAACCACTGTGAAGAGAAGACTCGCGTTGACAATGCCACAATAGAAGTGGGCTAAACATGCGTCTGTAGTTTTGTGATGACTGGAGTGATCTCTTTGTAGTTTATTTATTTATTCCTTTATTTTAAGAATAAATAATTAAAATAGGAATTTTATGAATAAATAATAGGTCGTGGTTTTGACGTGACCAAAATTTTTATCGGACAATTTTTTTTCACGCATATCATCAAAAGGTTTCTTGTGACTGCATTTTTTAAAAGCACAGTATCTATAAATGTTTTATACAACGTCAAATACACGTCTTTCGGAAAAATGGGAAGATAAAAGTCAAGTCGAAATTTCAGTTACAGTGAAATATGTTTTATTCTAGTCATTATCCAATAGTTAAAAGCTGTTCATCGACAACAGTGAAAAGAAACCTCTAATTGAGATAAAATTTAAATAATCTTGCATTTAAAAAGGAACATTTGCTACACAACTTTATTGAAACACATTATTCACCATGTCACAGTGAACTTATTTTATTGATAAATTTGAAAAATTAATTTTCCATTAATATTTTTCTTAAGCATTTTTGTGCTTTACGAATTTTTTATAAAGAAAAAAAGGAAACTAAGTTATCAAAATTGAATATCTACACATACCCAGTTTCATTCTAAATAAAGGGTGCAAATGTATTTCGAGCAGGCCCAGTGCAACAGTTAGTGTCGTGGTAGTTCTTCTTGTTGCAATAAATTGATAATGTTAAAATTTTCTGAAAAATGAATATTGCTTTCTTGATAAGTAGCATTTTTGTAATTCCACTCGAATGCTGAGTATTCCTAAATTGCAAAATCGGCAAAATGCATTAAAACATAAAATTCCGAATTCCAGTACGCGAAATGTGATGTACCTTCTTACTATACTGTCGGAAACTCCTCATTGGGCCTTAATCTTAATATCAGCGGAGAGGCGTACTCGACATATGAGTCTAACATATATTTGTTCTTGTTGTAATTTTACCTATTTAAAATATTTGCCCTTAACAAAAGCACAATATGCTGAAGTAATTGTAGCGTTTTCATTATTTCATTGATTACCATGTTTTCATAATTATCGTTAAAAATAGAAAAAAAAATTACCTTTTTTATACAACAAATTTTTTGTTTTGGAAAGAAGGGTGTTTTGAATAAATTGCAGAATACAGCGATGTAGCATGTGAAAACAAAGAAAGGAAAAAGAATTCCGATATTTCTAATTTTTTTTTGTCAATATTTAAGCAATAACGTGGATATAATAACAGTTTTGTTTTATTTGGGCTTTGAAATGGAAACCGCGCAAAAGCGAATATAGTAAACAAATCCAGATTCCTACCCACGTTTTTACGCCGCTTTAGCATTTTATATAACGAAAAAAGAAAATTTAGGTGAAATTTACTTCTGTACGTCAATAAGGACAATTTTTATGTTCGCTTAAACAACTAATTTTATATTTACTAATATGACTATAATTTTTATGATTTTATGACTAGATAAATCAAAAAAGTGTTTCGATAAATTGGCACTCCCGTATCAAATGTATGTATTAACAATTAAAATAGGCGGTCGTGTATTCAGTGGACTCGAAAGCAATTTCAAAGATTTTTCTTGCTAACGGTTTACCACAGAAATAAATTTCAATTTTCATGTTCTACTACATTTTAAAGTTTATGAAGTTTGTTCTGAATTATTGTAACATTCATTCCTTTCGTCTTACGATTAGGCAGCAATTTAACAAGAATCTCTCCGAGCGTTCAGACGATGGATCGTAGATATTAACTAATGAACGAATTATGCTGGTATAAAGAGTTATGATTTTATAAAAAACAAAGAATAAAAGCCAAGGATATACTAACAGATGTAGAACAAAGATCATAAAAGGAGTTTGGTAAATGGATAGAAAACAGATTGAGATACTCCTTATTACATAAGTAAACGACTCTAAATTGAAAATTATTTATTTTTAATTTTTTTTATTGTACTATTTACTATTTCTTTCTTATTTATTATTTACTATTTTTTTATTATTAGCTCTCTTTCTTTACCACTTTTTTTATCATTCTTTTGTACCTTTAATGCTGTGACAAAATTTTGGTAATTACAATTAAGATTTGTAGAATATACAATATAACTACGAAATTATTATATAATAAGGAGGAAGTGAAGAAGATAACGAAATTTATAAAATATATATTATGAAACCTTTCAAACAGTAATAATTATTGTTATTAATTATGTTCTGTAATTGGGTCTAGGTATGAAATATCAACAATTATTAATGGGTACTTATGTTACAAAAATACAAATTGTAGATTTCTAACTTTAATGAAAATCCTTTCTTATTATACCCTTATGTTGCATAAGGAACCTCCTGTGTAAAATTTCATGTTGCAACACAACCAGCAACGAAATGAACTAAACGACTGCAAATTGAAAATTATTTATTTTAATTTTTTTTTAATCATGTAGGAATTTATTTAGTTTTACAGTTTAATTTTTTTCATCATTTCAAAATCACGTGCTTGTATTGTGTCGTCCATTTAAATTCCAGAACTAGAACAGGAAAAATTCATTCTCATCATTATTTTCTTTGTCCCTCTTTTTTTAGGTTTCACCATCTCTCTCGCTCTTGTATTCAATTATTTAGACTAGAGTGGTGATCAGGCGATGGAACTTGCACGAAGCAAAACATTTAAAATTTCAATTGTATTAAGTTGTGGCTGAAAGTAGCTACGAGATTGGTTAAATTACAAAAAATTGCCGCGAACCATCGCAGAAACCTAATTTGATGCTTCTGCGTAGAGTTGTGACGTCATCAGTGCTTCGTGCATTAGCTTTCGCAATTTCATGCAAGCCAAAACGCGGTCGGTTCATGCTGGTTCATTACTAAGGCGTGGTCGTTCGTATTTGCAAGTTGTGTTGTCGGCGTCTTTTAAATTCAACATTTTAGGTAGTTTTTTTTGCAGAATTAGTTTTATTTATTTCTACGTGTAATATTCTGAAACGTTATTGAGATTTATTCATACTGTATTATTATTTTTCGCAATTGTCGATGGCCACAAATTGGCAAAATGTCTTGAGACAGACGCCATTTTAAAATTTTAGATTATTTCATGTTTCATTTATTTGATACGAGTGTTTAATTCTCTTTTTTGCCGCAGATTAACCGATGAATGAGACAGAAAGAGAGGGTTGAAGTTAATTTTGATCCTGGTACTGAAAAAAATCAAATCGTCTATCAAGGTACTCTTTGCTGTTGACTTTACGCCTTCGACAATTTTACAGTCAATTGAGGTGAGAATAACATGCACGTTTCTTACTAGACAAGCTAAAATAATTTTTGAATACTTTTTCATAATTTTTCATTTTATAGGAACACTGGTTGCCACGTGTTTTGGTTTTATCAGTTAGTCCCTTTACACTCCAGTACATCGTAATGCCTGAAGGAAGCACAAAGGTGCTTCTTTATTTTCTGAAAACGGACGCAATGTGTTGCAATTACTAAAAAAAGGATTTATAACAATTGATTGGGTAGTAACAATATTACATTAAAAGTAAAACTTTTGATTAAAAGTTTCAACCTCTTAAACATTTCTAACCTACACACTTTTAGTAGAAAGTCAAGTTTTACGTGTCAGCTTTATTATGTGTAATACAGACTATGTTTATATTTTGACTTTAATATCAATAGCAGATTAGAGAATCCAGTTAAACAGTTTATTAAATATTTGATTTTAGGAAAGAAATGTTTGTTTATTTTGTTTGTTTATAAAACATTTCCAAACACTTGTATCGGTGCTTCACTTTAAAATTTTAGTGTTTAACTTGGTTTTAGCTTTGTTTTTATATTTTATTTAACATCTTATTTGTTTAATACCGTAGCTAATTTGTTTTTTTACCCATTTCTACAGATTAGCCAACCGTTCAGGCTGATTATACTGAAACAACCAATGTCTACAATGATGTCGACTTTGCTGGACTTGCTTATTGATTTGCCGTTTCCGTCTTCATTGTGCAACATCATGCAGATAATTTTCAACCTTCGAGTGAAAGCAACCAGAGGTACATGAGGGTACACTGCGAGTAGAGAAATGAACAGGATGTGAGTAACAAGTGTGAATGGGGTTGAACAAAGGAATGGAGGTATGAATTGGGGGTGTGTGTGAGATGGTAAGAATTAATGTGGAACAGATTTTTCCATGAATGTACATGTTACTGATTTATACCGATTTACTTGATTTAAAAATGGTAATTAATTATTTTTTCTTGCCTGTTTCTATACAGATTGACCCACAAATGAGAAGGAAATGCAGTTAACTTTGATGCTACTGAAACAACCGATGCTTTTGACGTCTTCATCTTGCAACATTATGCAGTTAATTTTTGCTGTAACAATGGGAGGCAATTGGAAATTAATTAACTTGGAAGCGAGGGACAAAAAATTGCTTGCTGTGGTATCCCTCCTAGATTGGTTTGCTCATCACACTGATAGACTTTAGAACGCCAGTTTCTACAATTAATTGAGGTGAGAAAACATGACTTCATTAATATTAATTGCTCTTTATTAATTTGTTATGGAATTTCTGTTAAATATTATCTATTGTCAACAGTATAAATTGAGGTTATTGTGCATCTATATCTTTTGACAGTTTTCATTTTCCACAGAATAGATTGACATTTATCATTGATCTATCTATGGATTTCTTTTTAACGTTTTTCTATTGTCTGCATCGTAAATTGACGTATTATTTGACATTTATCTATGCCGTGATCTATGGTTGTGATGTAAAATGGCGTGAAGATAACGCTTGTTATTTTATAAATCAGCTATTTTTACTCGCTTTTTGATGCGTTTTTATTTGTGTTTCTTAATTATAAGTGTAATTAATACGTTTTTTGTCCATTTCTGCAGGTTATACAACAAACGGGAGAGAATTAATGTTCAGTTTGGTTATACTGAAACAGCCAATACTACTTGGGTGTGGTCTTTCGTGGATTATATTCTTCATTTGCTGTTTCGTCTTCGCCTTGTAACATCATACAGTTAATTTTCAACCCATGAGTGAGAGCCACTGGATATTTACTTGAATTCCACTGAAATAACTTCTCTGCTACAGTGTTCCTCCTGGAGTTAGTTTGCTTTGACACCTGTAAACTTTGGAACGTTACGTTCTACAATTAATTAAGGTGAGAATAATTGATATAATTAATTTTAATTGCTCTTTATTAATCTATTTGCTACCGTNCCATGCAAAATAAAAAATTAATTTGAATAAAACGAACTTAATGAATTCTACTAGATAGAGCATGCAAGATAAAGAACTATTTCAACTATGGGGTCATCTTTGTCTTCTCCAACGTCGATCTGAAACAGATACGGTGGCAAATAGATTAATAATGAGCAATTAAAATAAATTATATCAAGTATTTTCACCTTAATCAATTGTAGAACTAACATTCCAAAGTTTATAGGTGTGAAAAGTAAACCAACTCCAGGAGGAATACTATAGCAGAGGATTTGTTATTTCGGTGGAATTCAAATAAATATCCAGTTGCTCTCACTCAAGGGTTGAAAATTAACTGCATGATGTTACAAGGCGAAGACGAAACAGCAAATCAAGAATATAATCCTCGAAAGACCACACCCATGTAGACATTGGCTGTTTCAGGATAACCAAACTGAACATCAATTCTCCCTCATTCATTGTATAACCTGCAGAAATGGACAAAAAACATATTAATTACACTTAAAATTAAGAAACACAAATAAAAACGCATCAAAAAGCGAGTAAAAATAGCTGATTTATAAAATAACAAGCGTTATCTTCACGCCATTTTACATCACAACCATAGATCACGGCATAGATAAATGTCAAATAATACGTCAATTTACGATGCAGACAATAGAAAAACGTTAAAAAGAAATCCATAGATAGATCAATGATAAATGTCAATCTATTCTGTGGAAAATGAAAACTGTCAAAAGATATAGATGCACAATAACCTCAATTTATACTGTTGACAATAGATAATATTTAACAGAAATTCCATAACAAATTAATAAAGAGCAATTAATATTAATGAAGTCATGTTTTCTCACCTTAATTAATTGTAGAAACTGGCGTTCTAAAGTCTATCAGTGTGATGAGCAAACCAATCTAGGAGGGATACCACAGCAAGCAATTTTTTGTCCCTCGCTTCCAAGTTAATTAATTTCCAATTGCCTCCCATTGTTACAGCAAAAATTAACTGCATAATGTTGCAAGGTGAAGACGTCAAAAGCATCGGTTGTTTCAGTAGCATCAAAGTTAACTGCATTTTCTTCTCATTTGTAGGACAATCTGTATAGAAACAGGCAAGAAAAAATAATTAATTACCATTTTTAAATCAAGTAAATCGGTATAAATCAGTAACATGCACATTCATGGAAAGATCTGTTCTACATTAATTTCAATTTGTTCAACCCCATTCACACTTGTTACTCACATCCCGTTCATTCCTCTACTCGCAGTGTACCCTCATGTACCTCTGGTTGCTTTCACTCGAAGGTTGAAAATTATCTGCATGATGTTGCACAATGAAGACGGAAACGGCAAATCAATAAGCAAGTCCAGCAAAGTCGACATCATTGTAGACATTGGTTGTTTCAGTATAATCAGCCTGAACGGTTGGCTAATCTGTAGAAATGGGTAAAAAAACAAATTAGCTACGGTATTAAACAAATAAGATGTTAAATAAAATATAAAAACAAAGCTAAAACCAAGTTAAACACTAAAATTTTAAAGTGAAGCACCGATACAAGTGTTTGGAAATGTTTTATAAACAAACAAAATAAACAAACATTTCTTTCCTAAAATCAAATATTTAATAAACTGTTTAACTGGATTCTCTAATCTGCTATTGATATTAAAGTCAAAATATAAACATAGTCTGTATTACACATAATAAAGCTGACACGTAAAACTTGACTTTCTACTAAAAGTGTGTAGGTTAGAAATGCTTAAGAGGTTGAAACTTTTAATCAAAAGTTTTACTTTTAATGTAATATTGTTACTAACCAATCAATTGTTATAAATCCTTTTTTTCGTTTTCAGAAAATAAAGAAGCACCTTTGTATTCAAAGTATTCAAAAATTATTTTAGCTTGTCTAGTAAGAAACGTGCGTGTTATTCTCACCTCAATTGACTGTAAAATTGTCCAAGGCGTAAAGTAAACAGCGAAGAGTACCATGGTAAACGATTTGATTTTTTCAGTACCAGGAATCAAAATTAACTTCAACCTTCTCTTTCTGTCTCATTTATCGGTTAATCTGCGGCAAAAAAGAGAATTAATCACTCGTATCAAATAAATGATGTCTGTCTCAAGACATTTTGCCAATTTGTGGCTATCGATAATTGCGAAAAATAACAATACAGTATGAATAAATCTCAATAACGTTTCAGAATATTACACGTAGAAATAAATAAAACTAATTCTGCAAAAAAAACTACCTAAAATGTTGAATTTAAAAGACGCGGACAACACAACTTGCAAATACGAACGACCACGCCTTAGTAATGAATCAGCATGAACCGACCGCGTTTTGGCTTGCATGAAATTGCGAAAGCTAATGCACGAAGCACTGATGACGTCATAACTCTACGCAGAAGTATCAAATTAGGTTTCTGCGATGGTTCGGGGCAATTTTTTTATAATTTAACCAATCGCGTAGCTACTTTCAGCCACAACTTAATACAATTGAAATTTTAAATGTTTTGCTTACCAAATTAACAGGGTTTAAAGGCCTAGGCTCAGAAAAGCCTAGGAAGTTGAGAAAGCCAAATACCGTGTACCGACGAAATCACTCGTAAACAATAAAATTTAAAAGTATAAAATTTAAAAAAATTCAATTTACTGATCTTGGAATTATTGTTATAAACTATTTCTGATATCAACAAAAAAAATATTAATTAGAATGTAATATTCATTTTACAGAGGGACGTAATCAGCTTTTTATTTTGTATGGGTTATAGATTTTATGTTCTAGATGGGTAAGGAATTCAAACCCCTCGAGTTCTATAATACATACTATTATATTTGCATAATTTAGCAATCAAGTTCATCTAGAAAAGATCGCAAAACCTCTTGAGTTGAATAAAGTATGTACCCAACAGATATTTTTGTACCTATCACTAAATAAATACGACGCATAGTTTTGTATTTTAAGCGCCTTGTTTTTCGAGAGAAAATTTTACGAAAATATATGTAATACCTATTCCTCTATTATACTATCTATGCGCCTATCCTATGTTATTCGTTTTCACTCATCATATAATATAATAAACATAAATTAAAGTTAATTAGTTTATTTTTTATTCAAATAGGTTTCATCAGAGTATGCATTCCTACAAAATTTCATTGTTTAATTCATCAAATTGTAAATTAATTTTTAAATTTAATCCAACTATTTATTCAACAATCCTCAACCGCCCAAAAAGCTCCAGCGGTCGAGCGTAGGTACTTGCAAAAAAATATTTTCCAAATTGCATGCCAATGAAAAGAAAGGAAGTTTTAATTGTAAAACCCTTATGATAAAATGGCAAACGCCTTTCGTTGGCATAAGGGTGGGAAATTGTCATTTTCATTTGAGACAGTTCAAGAACATGGCTAGTTTTCACATTCTTGTGCTCCCCCTTTTTTTAAGGATTGTATAACTAAAATATCCTTTCTTTTTATTTGCATACAATACAACAAAACACTGATTTTTCCAAAGGACAATGCATTTTAAAAATGCATAAATACCTAAATTGTAGACACTAAATGCCAACGAAAGAAAAAACTGTTACAATCTTTGGACAGAATTGCTTTGTTGTTATCGTCTTTACTACATACTAATTTAAAATAAAGGGGTACATTACATTGACTTCTTTTTTAATCAATCACTATTTTTTATTAAGAAGCATCTATTTCCTTGAATACTATTACTTTGTTACATTTTTATACTCTCATCTTCCTCAATAACGGAAAATTTAATTGAAAGATAAACAACACAAATAAAGCGAACAGTTTTTTGTCCGCATTTTTAACTAGAAACGTATGTATGACAAACGTCTTTGCTTATCAGAACTCATATAAAAAACCCTAATGTACAGGACACAATGTAAAAATGCCCACATTAGAGAAATATACAAAACAATGTGAAAATATTAATTAACACCAACAGTGTAATGTAAAATCACAATTATTTTTATAGACTGCTTATGTACCAAATAAATTTAAATAGATTATATTATTAAAATCCAAAAATTTAGCTGCTAACAAAATTTCGATTCACACTGTAGTATTTCTATCTACAACAGCGCCTCGTTCATTCTCCCGAAAAGTTATCCTGGAATTCAAATGTAATATTTTTAAACACTGTTCATTACTAGACTTTCATATAGGCAACCCACTCTACTGCGAAGTATTCTCATCGTTAACAGTAGTTCTAATTCCCTTATTAATAGGCGAAAAATTAATTTATGAAAAAATAAACTATCAATTTCCTTGCATCGATTTTTTTTTCAAAATGAATCACTAAGGGGTGCAACAGGGGATAAAACTGTATACGGCAGTCCTGTCGTTTTTGAAGACATATGAAAATCATTTAAGAACAATGTAGATTCAGCGTCTAATCATTAGGGGGGTGAAAGGAACTTCAAAATTTTTTATTAATAGAACCCCCACACTCACCAACACACAGCCGAAACTATACTGAAGCCAAAAGTCAAAAGGATGAGATCAGAACAACAGTATGTAGTGACGTGTAGTTAAAAATTTTCAACTTTCAGGAAACTGAAACCTGCGTGTATTTTATAATACTCAATAATCGAATAATTAACCAGAATTAAACAAAATACTACAATACCAAATAAGAACTAGTCTATATAAGAGCTAGTATGAAGACAAATAAAAAAAGCAGTATTGACTTTCACTATTAGTTTTTTTAATTTTGATTGGTATTATTATTAAAGTTTACTTTATAAGGTAGTTTCGTTTTTGGGCTTCTAGGATAATTCAATGAAAATTTCACACCTACTATCTTTACTTACCAGTTAATTGTCCGTCCTTTAGTAACAACAGATTGCCTCTGTTCCCAGTGGAAAAAGGTACTTCTACATCAATGCTTCTTGCAGGTGCCGCTTCATCCTTGAGTAAAAAAAGACTGATAGGGTAGCAATCGTTATTTTATTGCTAAACTTAAATACTACTAAACTACCAAAACTCAAAAAGTTCTCAACAGATACTAATGAACGGAAAGAAAAATCATGAATGAGTTATGTAGTAGAAAAACATTACATTCAGTTACTATTTTCATACTTATTGTAAATCTCATTGCTCAATATAACATTAAGCATTGGTTCTCCTACCGAAAAACATAATATATAAGTTTGGATTTTTTAAAATAATACTGGAGGTAATAGAAAACTGTCATTCTAATGGATACGTCAGACGCTTATTTAAAATATAAAATTATTTCCAAAATTAACTTTTCGTCGAGAACAAATGCTATAATAAATACGGCTGTAAAATAAATATTATTTTAAACTGAACGATCTTTAAATAACAAAAAATTTTTACGTAATAAATGAATTCAGTGAGTCTTTTAAATATAACGCGGTTATTATTCATTCACTCCAAACAGAAATAATTTTTTGTAGCTACATATTGGTGTTTCTACCGATTTTTTTTCCTAACATCTTATTTTCTAGACATTGAAAATTAGCGACTTCTAGTTTTTCGTCTCCAACTTTTCTATATTAGCTCAAACTCTACTTTACCTGACTTCTGTACATACCGATATTTTTATTTTCCTTTATATTCATTCCATGCACTGCTGCACTTCTATCGACACAGGTTCCATTTTATTTAGGGTTGTCTCTAACTTCTGCCTGCTAGATGAAAAAAGAAAAAATAACATTCATCTAGCTTTATTGAACAGATAATTACATAGATATATGATTTCATAAATATCTTTTTTTCAATTTCAACAAATCTTTTCAAAGCAATTCGCATGCAGTTAATGCTAAACATAAATACATTTTTATTGATAAATATCTTACTATATCGTATCTAAATAATTAATATAGTAAGAGAAATATGAGATTAATATAGTTTACGAGAAATATGAGACCATACTTTGATATTTTTGCTAACTGCTAAGTATAATAACAACATCATCAAACTAACGTTAAGAAATTTGTAATCAAAAGTTGACACCAAATAGTAGCATAGCAAAATTGAAATTATAAAACTAAGTCATGCTACGATTAGTATTTAAGGTTTCTAATTTTTTTTTTAGTAATTGCAATATTGATGTGGAAGTCCATACAGTTGATATAATTGATTAATTTTAGTTATTTCGAAGTGTTATAGTTACTAAAAGACGTCTATAGTTATAAAAGTAGAAAAACTGCACCTTAAATTATTCATAAAATTTGTACTAATACCCTTTAAACTTATTCATGAAACCTGCAATATGAATTGGAATACTACATCAAATATTGTTCCTTATTTCATTAAAAAAAAATTATTCTCTCACTTATTACTTACACAATGATAGAACAGAATTAACTCGATACAATGTGGCATACAGCCGAAAAAATACATTTGGAAACATTTACTTGTATTGTCATTAGTCATCGTCTTGATTTCGACGAACCTGTTGAGCAGGTATACCTTCTTGAAGCTGCAGAACATGTTCTATAGGTTCTGGTCTTCCATCTTCACCTATTTTACAGGGTTGAATTATGCCAGTTCTAGTTAGAGTATCCATTAAATCAACTAATTTCATCGCTTCATATTCTTTCTGAAAACGACACAAACAAAGATTATAACCAATACTAATGACATTTGCAAATAATTAATTAAATTTCGTCTTATTTTCTTATAAAGTAGGTAATATAATCACCATTTCGTTTGGCACAAAGCAAAATATATTTGCCGAAACAAGTTTTTAGGGTTTTGCTTACAAAAATTATTTAATCAATAGGGATAGGTATGTTTTGAAGAACTAGTTACAAGGAATTCAAAAAATACCACAATCTAAACGTGGAACCCTACCTGAGGATCTTTTATATATTGTAGGATATCCTCTTTCTTCTATTTCTGAAACTACTGTGACAATAAATTTTAAAAAAGTAGGGGTTACCTGTTCTTCCGTCATATGTGCCATCGGATTAGTTTTGGGTTGTTCGTAACACCCTATAACAGGATTAATTCCATGTTTGTGTTCACGATATTCTTCGGTGTCGCTGTCTTCGCTCTCAGAGCTATATCGTCGCTCTCCAGGGCGTCCGCCTCCCAAGAGACCACGATTCGCAAATAAACCAGCTGCATTACCATAACCAGTGTATTTAATCATGCGACCAACTGTAAATTTTGAAATATATAATATGATATGAGATAATTTACCTGTTATTAACAATTTGGATATGGTATTCAAACAACAGCTTGAAGATCCCTAAGTAGTATCGTCAGGAGTTCGCCTGTTTTCCTAGAAAATAAAAATAGTTCGTTGAGGAACCAGAGGAACTCCTGATGTAATATTACAGATATAAAAAACAGCACAGATACAGAAGGGCACAAGATTAGTATGTTTAGATTTATGGATGGTATATTAGGGAGAGTTAAACTATATTCAAATAAAATGGAAGTGGTATTAACAGAAGAGCATGAAACTAATATAAATAAAAATAAAACAAAAATATTGCATATAACTACGTTTAGGAGGATGATGTATGATAAAGGGTTAATTATGGGCACATTAGAAGCAGAAACAGAATAAAAAGGGGCAGAACAAGACCTAGATTAATTCTATTACGGTTCGTATGCAATTAAGGATGTGGGATATTCAAGTGTTTGTGAAATGCGAAAATTGGCACTGAATAAGAAGAAGCAGAGGTGCCGAACTGATCTTCGGGGCTGACAACCTATGATGATGATGATTGTTACAATATACAGTCTTAAACAGCATTATTAACAAAAATAAGATGTATATAAAATTTCTTACCATTTTCTTTGCATAAAATAAAAAGTAAATCTGCTGCCAAATCCCGTACATGAGTTATGGTTGTCGTCAGCAAACGACAAAGATTGTTACGAAGAGTGTTGCCTTCTTCTGGGCGGGTGTGTACGTCTCTTAGGGGCGGAAGTATATTTTGGCGTAAATACTTTCTTAAATATCTATCGCTACTTACACCTTTTACCAATACTGTCAAAATTGGTGACAGGATTTCCGTTTGACTTCTAACAGCCTTAAAAAAGTAGAACAATCAGGAAGAATAATATAATTTAAAAATTGTACAGATGATGTGAAAATGTTTAATTCAACAGCTTTTTCAAAAGAACAATTAAATCTACTAAGTTAAATGAGCTAAAGCAAAGGTTTTATTAGTGTACTTTTTTTCTTTTTCCATTTAAAAATTAATTATATAAGTAACAAGTTCAACATACGATTTCTGTAGAAAATTTGTTTTCCAAAAGAACAAGTATTTCTTTAACTGCTCTCATGTCTTGGCCATCAAACTGAAATTTTTTGGGGATTTTTTCTTCATCTTTCACTGGTCTGTGAAGAGCACTATATGTACTTGTTGGCATATTGGTAATTAAATTTACGATGTTATTTGTTAATTCTAATTTTGTATTTTGGTCTTCAATTTTGACAACCAACATATCGCGTAAAATTGCGACCAACTCCTTATATCTCGACTCTTCTTCTTCGTCTGGTTGTGAAGAAAGATTTTGACTTACGGTTAAATTGAAAAGAACTTTAAGTACCTCGCAAGCATAATTCGATTCTTCCTTCTACAAAAAAAAATTACTAAAAATTTTCAATTGTAATATTCACATACTGATATTTTTTTCTGAACTGGAGCTGAAGAGGCACCACCGTTTGGTCCAGATTCTTTATCATCTGTTGTAAGATGCTCCAACACTTCTGTTAAATATTTCAAACCGTGTAGATCTTCTTTTAACTTTGGTCTGGTTTCATCACACAGAGCCGTTATTAAAAATAAAATTTTCATATCAAATATTTTTATGTCCAGGGGTATTTTTTTAAATCTAGAACAGAAAATGGGAGAGTAACCATTTTCAATAAACTTCTAGACGGCGGATTCAATTTTGGTCACAGAATTGCCTTAGCACACTGTTTTGCTAAATTTGTCAATGTCAAAAAAATTAATTTATTTTATTTTTTCTGCTTTTATACCGAAATATTTAACTTCTAAAACAAATTTATTTTTAAAAATGGCAGGAAGTCGTGGAACTGATAAAAGTATTTTTAGATTGAATGATATTATAATGGACATTGATTCCAGAAAAAATATGGAAACAGATCCTCAAGCTCATCTTGAATTAAATCCTATATATTTGACTGTACGGCAAGAACTTAGTATGCTAGGACGTAATAGTATATTGGTGCGACGAAAAAATTTAAAAAACTTATTTTTGAATGATTACTTTAATGAAAAAAAAGAATTAGAAGAATTACAATTAACATTCTATAATACTCAACCATAAAATATACTAAACTTAATTTTGTCAAATAAACAAGTTTTGTTATTTACCTCTTATACTTCTTTATCCGCTCAATCACTCCTTCAATTATTCCATTTTTACTGCAGTATGCAGCTGCAACATGGCTATTGTATATAATATTGCACAGACATTTTTGAGCCTCTATTTCTAGTTCATGGTCAATCTTGTCTTCAGAAGCAGTGCAGTTAGTATCCAATCCAGCAAATTTCTTTAATAAATCTAAGTGCTTCAAATCCAAAATATTATCTAAGTCTTTCTTATCACGACTAGAAATTTCGTAATAATTGAATTAACCATAAACTACCACTTAAATAGATTCAATGCAGGAGTTTACCTTAAAATTCTTACAGCAATGAGGCAGTCTCTATGCATATCTCTTGCATCCTCTAACTGAAGATAATTAAACAATTTGTCGAGAAGACGCTTACGGCTACTATTCAAATCCAAAAATGCGAAATTGAAAGTTGCTGTATTCTACAAAAACGAGTTGTAGACATGGTCCAAATTTAATACAATTAACTTACACTTTCAATGAATTTTTTTAAAGCATCTTTGTCTTCTGTAATGCTACCGTTTAATAATGTTTCAATTTCACTCCTTGCTGTCATTTCTTTTTATTTTCCAATTTTTGTTATTCAGAATTTGTGCATTAAACCACTAATAACAGATTAACAAAACTAAATTCCTCTTTTTGTTTTGATGTGTCACAGAATAGATGTGAGGTTATAAACGAATTTCTGGCCATGGATATTTCTCGCTCTTTTAGCCATACAGATACTTTACGATTCCAGGTCAGGATCAACTATATTTTCATCACTAATTTATTTTTCCTTTTTACAAAAGAATCTCAAATTTACTTATTTGTTTTAATAAATTCACAAGAAAAAAGTAAAGTAAATATGGGATGTTCGGCGAGTACAATCCTTAATTAAATATTGAACAATATTGTAATGATGAATTTAAATTGTTAGAAGTTTAAAAACAATTTAGTTAATTATATTCAATTTTCAATGTTTTTTAAAAGTAAGTGCAATAATCTTTTTATAGTTTTGCACAGTATGATTAGACAATAAAAATTATAATTATTGTGTATTTTCATTAGTTCATGCTATGTAATCAAATCATATAAGCCTAATTCTTTATTGTTATTACCAAATTTCTTTGGCTCATAATATTATTTTCAATTTTAGTAAGTCTTATCATAGGGCAAAGGTTAATAAAGATAAGTATATTGAACCACATTATTCTAAAACACAGAAACACCAAACAGTATTAACAACGAATTTGCATGACTAATTTAAGTAAAAGTTCTTTAGGAGTTATTGTATTTGTTTTAATATGTTTCGGTGTGTTATTGCGGGTGAATTGGATAAATTCGCAAGTCGAAAATTTAGAAGAAAAATTTCAGAATTATTTGCAGAAGTTTCATAAAAACTATTCAAATATTAATGAATACCAACGGAGATTAGTAATATTTAGGGTACTGTTGTACTGTTAATATAACAACATATAAGAAATAAAATTGAATTTTATGTTGTTTTGATTACTATATAAAGTAAAACACTCAAATATTTCATTTCAATAATGAAATTCAGTAATGGTAACGAATTTGATTTTCATAAATCTAAATACTGAAAGATGTTTGTATTTGATCCATTAGTAATTCTTGTAGTCTGCAAATTAACAAGTTTAATTCCGTGATAATTTTAAGAATTTCGTATTAAATTGTTAATTAAAAATTTCAGAATGCCTTAGAAGAAATCGAGGTGTTAAACTCAAAAAGAAAAAGTAATCGTAGTGCCATATATGGTTTAACTCAATATTCAGACTTTACTCGCGAGGAATTTTTGCAAATGACGCTGACCAATTATAAAAGTCTAGTACAGAATGCAGAAATTCAAAAACCGAACCAGCCATTTGTTTTCCGAAGAAAACGAGTACCTGTTGGAAAATTACCTTTAAAAGTTGACTGGAGGAATAAAACTTTTGTTTCAGGTACGTCTTCGCAAGTAGCATTACATAAATTAGAGGTGTGTCTAAAACGTGCGCCATAAGAATGCAGGAATTTTTGTGGAGTTTTGTGAGATACAATTTGAATTCTTGCAAAGTAATTAATCTGGATATTATTTATACATTCCAGTCATTATATATTTGTAGATAATATCTACCTAATTTAGATAAAGTGATTGTTGGGACAGAGGGCAGAATTAATATGGCTATTTTACAAAATATCTAGTAATACATGGAGAGAGTAATAAAACATAATAAATACTGTATTTTCTATTGCAAGGGTAGATAAAGTTATGAAAAAGTCAAGAATGTAATTAAAACTCGAAGGAAGTTAAAAAAAGTAGATTACTTAACAAAATGAGTAAAAATGAAAAAAACACAACCTTGTTTGGCGGATTAGGTCAATTTTTTTTTGCCCTTTCGCATTCAAAGGTTAAAGAAAGTATTGCTTAATGTGACGAGATATGACAAGGAGGGTAGCGGCTCTAAGGAAATGTGATGTTTGCAATTCATCAATTTTATTTTAATTTTTTTCTTAACTTGGGTGTTTTAAAATTTTTCATTACGATAGAAAGTCTTTCCATTGCTATTTTTGATAACAAAAAATAGTTCACAGGGATTAGCGTAACGAAGGGAGTAAGAGGGGTCTAAAAAGGTGAAATATAACTTCATTCTACGTTCGACTATATTCCTTATGTCTATGGTTACTACTTTAACCATTTCCAATTGTTATATATATGTATTATTAATAATATCTAATTAAATAATTAACTCACCAAGTTATCTACACAATTTGGTCAATACACATGAGGCCTTTATGTGTAATCGTCATTTAATATCATGAGCCTTCACATGTATGAGAGGTGTAAGTATTATATAGGTATTACAATACGAAAACACATATTCGACTGTTAACTATGTGCTATAGATGGACTATAAACAATGACAACGAATCTACATATTTAAGTGATAGATATCAGTAACGCAACCCACGGCTTAGGTTCATGAGATTCTACACTACCTCTACATTCGTAGATAGATGGGGCTTTATGTTGAGAAAAATCAAAAACATTGAAAATTTTCATCATGGTATTGCCTACATGGCTAAAAGAATAGAGATGTTTTGGGTAAAATCTTTTATTGCAAATGGTGAAGCAATTAGGAACTAATACTCAAACCTCCAGAGATGACCAAATCAAAAATAGTAAAGTTCCAATTGCCATAAATTTAAAACCGATGAACCAAGACATTGAAGAACGCCTTTTATTTTTCCCCATCAATTTACTTTGCACATCCCATGAAATTTTTAAATTAAAGGAAAATTTATTCTTTTCTACATGTAATAGCTGAACTTTTTTTTAATTTTTATAGAAACATCAAGATAAACGTAGTAACAAAAATGAAGACGTGAAGTAAAACACAACACAAATCTAGTTAGTTTAATTAATTAAATAAAACAGCACATACTTTTTTCTTTCCAGATGTGAAAAGTCAGAGAAGTTGCGGAGCTTGTTGGGCATTCAGTGTTATCGCTGTGGTTGAATCAATGAACTGCTTGAAGCACAACAAGTCCGAAATTTTGAGCATTCAGCAGATGATAGACTGCTCGAAATATGGGAATCGCGGTTGTCTAGGAGGAGATATGTGCACTCTTTTGCAGTGGTTAACGGATAATAATGTTGCCATCGAACTGGAAGAACACTACCCACTACAACTGCAAAATGAACAATGTAAAATGAACAGAAACGGGTCCGGAGTGGTGGTTGACCATTATATTTGCCGAAGGTAAATCTCATTTGTTTAGTTGATAAATACCTAATTTTTTACAAAATAAACGAAAATCAATGTAAGATAAATCTACAGTGATTATCCATAGAACAAAAGGTACTCGCATAAATTAATTCCACTCATTATTTAGGGTATTAGCGGTTGTGTAGTATTTTTTTAATTTTCTACATTTATTTAAGTAGGTATAAAATATTCTTTTCAAAAAATGCTCAATTTTTAAATATAAATAAAATAATTTTTCTATCTTTATGTTATAGTTTCTTCAGTTCAGCAACAAATAATTCTACTGTATGTTTCCTTGTTTGACTTTCTCACCCATTGTAGGTAATTGGAAAAGAGACACCAATGCCAAAATAGTTTGTTTAGCGTGAAAGATGAGAGCCAAAATAGGGTTGCAATTAATTTTACTCATGTAAAATCAACATCAATCATTTTATATCAAAATATTTACAACCCCATTTTATTTCAAATCCTTTATACATAAGAGAAAGAAATGGAATCCATAGCTTCTTTAGCTTTGGGTTCATTTAATAAGTGATGTTTTTCGAATCGTTTTCTAAGAATTTTGGATTA